GTACACTAATTACAAGTCATGCCCACAAGGACGTGAGAGACTAAAAACAATGTCAGCTAGAAAACAAATTAAGGAAAATGCAATGGTTTGAGAGTATCGATTTACAAATTACCTTGTCACAGTTACATGGAATGCAGGCATCTCTGTCGTGTATCTCTGCACGCGGGTTTCTGTAGTAATATGGTATACATTCTTCGCAGTGTTGGCCTTGAGTGTTGTCTCGACAGTTATCACATACTCCCCCAGACACGTTACCTAAATTTGATTCAAATTTCAAATCCAATCCTATATCAATTTCTATCAAAAAGGTACAACTCAATAATTATAAAGCAAACTTAAACAAACAATCTTTCTAAATAATCAATTATTTCAGGTCCAGCACATCCTGAGTGACTACTCTCATTATCTGCATCAAATTGAACAACTAAATTAAGAAACTCTAATTTAACTAATTTAAACCTTCTAAAGCTTTCAATAACAATGCACTGGTCAAAAACGAAAAAGAAATGGCCAAATCAAGAAAGCCGCTGTAACTGAACCAACAAAACCGAATAATTTTTTGCCTACCTGATTCTTCGTATCGCTTCTGATCAAAATGGCAAGTAGCTGCATGATTGTTACAGTTACATCTTCTGCATTCATGAGTTTCTTCACCTATTGCCGGTCTCCAAGGAAGATCATTGAAGAAATCCATACAACTTTCGCAGTTCAATCCTTTTGTGTTATGAGTACACTCACAACGACCATGTACCTTTATTATGAAAAACAATAATTGAAAATTCTTACTTATGACGTAACAGTTGATAATTGTAAAAAATTCTAAAATTTCTGAGAACACTTGCAAGCAGATCTAACGTACCATATCCGGTCGATTTGAAACGGCGACGCCTTCAATTGGAATACAGCGTTGTGCGTGACCATAGCAAGAACATGAACCGCGGACAACGATTTCGTAAACAGCATAATAATACTTCTCATCAATTTCCGGCCTGTAAAGACAAGAACAATACATAAAAAACTACGTAAAATGAAGCAAATGCACTTGCAACAAAATACTGCTGAAGATAAGCGAGGAAATAAAACAAAAAACTGATTAGGCGCACAAGAATATCAAGCTTTAACCCACCTGTAATCTAAGAGGTCGTCACCAAGAGTGTGCAGTTTAGTAAAATTGAGTCGAAGATTGGTAATTTTCAACAAGTTGGCAATTTCCTTTGCATATGGATCCTCAGTTGGTATATGTGGCGAAATAACTTTATATACTAACTAAAATAAACAAAAAAACAGATTTCTCGTTCTTATGCATTAAATAAATTTCTAGATTTTAGAAATGCCCGTGGTATGCTCACACAAATTTAGGAAAAAAACTTTGGTCAGAAATGACTACAGCTAAAATATTGCTTAATAAATGACCAAATACATCAACAGAAAGTACCAGTCAGCATCAAAACTCAACATAAAAATTTGTTTTAAAGAATAGATTCGATCCAATTAGTCTTACCTCACCTCCAGTAGATGGAGCGACTTCACTGTACTTACGAGTACAGATCACATCGGTATGCTTTTGTGGAGGCCCAGGTGGAATATTTGGAAACGTATTGGCACAATCGTATGCAAAGTAACGATATGGTTTCCTAGAAAAAATTGAAGGAAAAA